AATATTTAAGAAATACTTGCTTTTGATCTGAAATATTTAGCAAACATATAAATATTTCCTAAATATGTATGTAATATTTTGTGCTATCTGGGTATAGGAGGGAAAAACTTGATATTTTCAATAGGAAAACAATTTTAATGCTAAGTAGTTAGATTACATTTTCTCGAATGAATTTCTGGACACCCAGTGCAAAATCGGTTTTTGCGAGTTCCAAGCAAGAAAAATACAATAAATTTGAATAGCTATTTAATCTTGAGAAAAACCGCGCTTTGAGCGAGTAAAATAAGAGTAGAAAATGGGGCTTTTCGAAGAAACGGAGAATCGACAGTTGTTTCAATTACTTACCAGGAGCAGCAAGTCCGGCTCCAGTAATAATGGCACCTGGAGAAGCAATGGGTCCCACTGAAGCAAGGCCAGATCTCTGAACGGTTCCTGAGGGACCAGCAATAATAGCGGCACCGTCAATGCTACCAGCCAGACCGATGCCACCAGCTTGAGCATAGGCCAAAGCGCCAAGAAGAGTAAAAGCTAACTGTAAGAGAACACTCATTTTAGAAAATCACAACTTTGGCTAATAATCTACAAGATCGTCCAAGACTGACGGCAATAATTCAAGATAATAAACACACAAAACAAGGCTTGAAAATTATTTGCTAGGATGGCAGTCAGTAAATTTTTCCAAAAACGACTTTACAACTAGAAGCTGAGTGAAAGTAACAATCACCCACATCAACTGCTACTTAGATTAACAAACAAAAAAAGCTAAAAGAAGTTAAATGGTTTTGAAACTTACCAGTGCGTTCATGTTGTGTCCTTTTGCTGTCCTGACTGCAAATGATATATTTTGAAAGCAATGACCTATTTTATATAAGTTGGTAACCTTGCCAATAAGTCCACACCCTTAAGGAAAACAGACAAAGTGGATTTTTCTCACTATTGTCGTGTGTAGAAACTGCATGATGAAATCTTGCAAACATTTATCATATCGCAATATGCCATAACAGCAACTACTTTTTACTTTTGGCCGGAACACCTAACACCCAAACAAACTATATTTAGCATCAGTTGAAAAAAGTAGTATATTTTTTGGAAAGTTTACTGAAAATAGTGAATAAGTGCAGAGAAAAATACTATTTAATAATGCTAAAGAAATTGTACAATTGCATCTATATTTTTATGTTGCAATTACAACTGCATTTTACATAATCCGATCATATGAGGGGGAAGGCGGAAAAATGTCGCCAATGTCTTTGCAGTTGATCTTAAGAGTGCTGGTGATCTAGTTTTCGTTGCTCGATACTCAGGTAATTGAACTGAGAGCTTTCAAATCGCATCGTTTTCCAGTCAATTTTTTGACTGGAAATTGCATGGAAATGTAGTCTTAGTAAAGGGTGTGTTAACGGTTCAGGCGATGAGTGTTCAGGCTATTTTGTTGCATTTACTATCTTACTACTGGATATGTTCAATAATTATTGCGATATTGATACAATAAAGTAAATGTGCGAAACAACACAAAGCTGCAAGATTTTTCTAAAGTTCGACCGGGAACATTTAGCATCTATTAACGTTCATTCAGATTTCCTGACTTTCAGTATCTCAACAATTTCAATAAATTCGTGATTTTATCAAACTAGATTTCTTTCGCAGTAGTGTTGGCTTCACGAAATGTATTTTAACTAAGTAGAAAGTTTTCTTTTAGTCGCTTAAAGCTCTGAGTTAATCTACTCCCAATTACGTTTTCCCTGAATATTATAGCAGACGTGTTTTAGATTTTCTCCGTTGCAGACATACTTTTAGACATATTTCGGATTCTCTTGGCTGCGTTACTGGTCTTCAAATTTTGATGCCAAAAGACAATTTTAGTTACTATATGCATAGAATTAATCCACGTCTCGCACATAGTTGAAATTCTCCCAAAACGCAATTAAATGTAACATTAAATTGAAGTCACGCGCATACAACAGCACTAAATCAATCAAACCGATGCATGTTTAATAAGCTTTGTGGCAATTTTTCTGTGAACGCAGTAATTCTAGAACATTTAGGCATTCGAATTTGGAATGAGAATTAACAATTTCGCATAAAGCCCTAGTGTATCAACATAGTAGAAATGAAGATCAATAATTGGAATTATTAATTAGTAAGCAATTTATCGTAATATTTTTCTTTAATGTATTCAGAACAAATTTATATTGAATTGTGTAGAATATCATGTGTAATAAATAGGTAGACCGTAATTAAAAACACCCATATGTTGAAAAATGAAGCAACAACATTTAGAACAAAAAACATAGGGAACTTTAATACGTTATATAAGGTCGTAAAATCCAACAGATCGTAAGCTGAGAAATTTCTGTCGAAAAAAGTGCACTTTATTAGAGATTATTTTAATTTATAAACTTAGTTGCTGAAGTATTGATTTACAATTTTTTCGGTTAATGTAAGATTTAGATAAAATTGGGAAGCTACTGAGACTAAACATTTAATTGCCACGGACGCATACATGATCCCTGAATTCCTGTTAAGAGCTCAATAACATTTTAATAATGTTCTGTTAGTTATTTCCAGATCCATAAAGACTGTAGATAAAGATTTGATCGGAATTTTTTCGACGAATTACTGTAGATGAAAGAAGACTTTTTAATTTTTTTGTAGATAAATGGATCAAACGATATTCCTTAAATGACATAGTGTTTCTGAGTAAAATATTCGTCGTTTCAACTTTTCTTTGACGGGAAAAGAATTACTTTGTTATAATTATTCTTGCTTCAGATTGATTGAAGTGCAGCTGATCAACATGTGTTAAGCTGATTTCTTGTGTAAATAATCGACCACAGTGACTAAGGTATACGTTCAAGTTTAATATACATTATTTTAATGGCAATGACCACCAAAAGGCATCAGACTAATGACGGTTTCAATCGAATTTGTATGATTAAAATGTTAATCACTTCATAGGTTTATTTACGTCAAGTTGGAAAGTTGGCTTATATAGTTTTTTCATTATTAATATAAAAATTAATTGTTTTATATAAACATATAAAGAAAATCATAAGTTCGGTTAAATTTCATTTTAGACTTGTTTGCAAACATTTAGTTCAATCTATTTTTAAACTGTTCTACGATATGGAAAATAAATTTGCATCTGAAAAATGTTTCATAAATAGCAGGTTACGATATTCTTATCCTTCCTGGGTCTCAGTCAAAGTGTGAAGTAAAAATTTTGAAACATCGTTTATTTCATTGCGTTTCGGCGAGACAACAGCGCCATCATCAGATTTAAAATTTACTCAAACTACAAACACCAATTTACAATTAAAACATTTCGTATACAAATTATAATTTACAAAGTGTTAAAACATTCATCAGTTTTTAAGGGATAATACAAACTAAACAATATTTAAAAAAGAGAATGTACGAACATACCTAAATACAGCCTGAGAAATTCTAGTGAAAATAAAACAGCATTAACACAACATGCACACCAAATGTTGCATAATTTTGATTTTGACAAGGCAGATATGTTAATTAGGGAACCCAATTATCGTAAAAGAAGAATGCAAGACATGATACAAATAAAAAAAAACATGCAAAAGCAGTAAATTTCAGATCAAATACCGACAACCTTAGCAACATTTACCAAACCCTAATAAAGCCATAAGTATGGAACAGCCGGTACACTAGTGAAAAATTAAAACTATTTCTGCTTATCTCAATACATGCATACCACTCTCGCAAATGTAGAAAATAATTCA